AACAGCAAGGCCCCTCAGCCCTTCCACTAGCCCTGCTCTAGGCCAAGGGCTGCAGCTACCCCCAGAGCCGGCTGCACGGCTCCTCTGGTCGGAGGCTTAAGTGTAATTGGAGCCGACTTGCGCTGCTCCAAGGACGACTAATAGCAAGAGGCCAGCGCCCCCGCCCCGCGGGAGAATTAGCCGCTCCGCTCCGGAACACTAAGTGCATGTGATCCCGTAAGATGCATTCTGATCCCGGGCAGCGCTAATTACAGGACTCGCATCATGCCAGATATTAAGTTGCTCCTCGCCGCCAACTTCCCCGCACCACGGCGCTGCTCCCAACAGCCCTTTGCGGCAGGCAAAGCCAGGAGAGCAGCCCCCCCCCCCCCCCCCATGCCGCTGGCATACCAGAGCCGGTCGGGCAGAGGCCTTGAGACCGAGGTCAGGCGGTGCGAGGGGCAGAGCAGAAAGCCTGCGCTGGCTACACCCCCCCCAGCAAAGCCACACTGCAGAGCGAGCTCCAGGACTCTGCAGCCCCGAGCACCAATTCCGACCTGGAGCCCAGCTCTGAAAGCCCGGCTGCTGGGCCAAGGGAACAAGGTGTATGCTGCAGAGCGCTAATTGGGCGCTAACGAGCCCTTGCTCTGCAGGCTGATTTGGCTGGTTTCACAGGGAAGAGAGTTATGGGGGCAGCCTGGAGCCGGCCCGGGGGGGGAGAAGGCAGGACTCTGCAGCCCCGAGCACCAATTCCGACCTGGAGCCCAGCTCTGAAAGCCCGGCTGCTGGGCCAAGGGAACAAGGTGTATGCTGCAGAGCGCTAATTGGGCGCTAACGAGCCCTTGCTCTGCAGGCTGATTTGGCTGGTTTCACAGGGAAGAGAGTTATGGGGGCAGCCTGGAGCCGGCCCGGGGGGGGAGAAGGCTCCACAGCCACAGCGCGTCCCTTGGGTACCAGATTTGGTTTTACATCTCCGGACCAAGAGCCTGCGGCCTGGCCTGCTCTAGGCACTGGGGCAGTCTGACCACGCGGAGCAGGGGCATGCAACGCCCCCCCCCCCACCCTACCTCCTGGCCAGCAGCGCTCAGCGACCCAGTCCCTGCTGGGTCACACGAGGCCGATAAAGGATGCCCCAGCCTAGCTCAGCGGGGATGACCCAAAGGGACAGGAGACCCCCAGTCCACCCATGCACCCCGCATTTCAGTGCAGAGAAGTCCTTGGGCGCACAGTGAAGGGCTGTGCCCCCTGGTCTCTTCCCCGAGCGGGGCAAGGTCCAAGGTGAGTGGCGAGCGGGCTCACTCCGGCGAGCAGGGAGTTAAGTGCATTCCAGTCCCTGGAGGGAGGCCGGAGCAGACAGACCGGCCTCTGTTCAGAGCACAATGGGCACATTTCAGAGCCCCAACCATCTGGGGCAATTAGGACTCCTGCCCAGCACCGGCTCCCTCATCCCCGCACCTGATCTGCACTCCCCGGCCTGCGGCGGGAGGGGCCCGCCCGAGCCATCTCCCCCCACGTGGGAACCCGGGGAGCCCCTGGAGCACCGGCCATGGGGCTCCCGACCACCACGGTAGGGTCGCAGCGCCGCCCCCCAGCACCTTGCACCAGGGCCCCGAGCACACGGCAGAGGGTTGGGGCTGGGCCGGGCCCAGCGGCTGCAGCCCTGCACGGGGGCGTGGGGGTCCCAGCTTGGGCCTGAGGATCAAGGGCTAACCCCGGCCCGGCAGCTCTCACTCAGGCTGCAGGGCAGTGC